GGAGAAGTAGGACTTGAGCAACCAATTGTTTCAGTTCCTGCTGTCATTTTGGTAATTGAAGTGTCAAAATCCATGACACAGGGCTTTCTAAAACACAGGTTTTCAGCAACTGTGGGAGGAGGCAGGGCACTGAGGTTGGATTCTGGAGTTTACTTCATGGCAGGGCTTGTGTCAGGCTTGTGTAAGATTACCTCAGCCCACTGGTGAAAGCTGAGGCCTTTCTTCCCAGCAAGGTCTTGGGAAACATCATGCAATTCTCTTCTTTTTCCTGTAGAGGTGGTGGGACACACCTGCCTTGCTGACATGGGATCTGGGTAGTTTGAGACCCTGGCTGAAAGCATCATTTCTCTGAGAAGCACCACCTCGGGCTCTCCTAGCCTCACGTGGACCATTGTGCTGCCTCCTAACCTGTCCCATTTCTGCCCCAAGTCATCCCCCACACAGCAGACTTTACCAAAGTATGAGTATATCATTTCCCTCTCCAAATCTCCACTGCTGCTTCTGCCCTCTGTTTTCTGGAAAGTGTAGCTCCCTGGCCTAGTATCCCCCCCTCTCCTCTCTATCTCCCACCTCCTTCTCTTCTACGTCCAGGCCTTTGCACATGGGCTCTTTCTCTGAAGCCCTTGCACATTTATCTGAGGATGCCTGCAGCCACCAGCAGTAACTCACCCCTCCAGGAGACCATCAGGTGAATGACGGCCCTCCCATCAAAGCCCCACAGAACCTTACCCCTCTCTGGCCTTTGATTTTCTATATCAGACTCATTTAAGAGGCTGTCTTGTCTGCCCTGCAGTCCTGGGAGTTCCTTAAATGACAGAGTGAAGCCTTATTTATTGCAGGGGCCCCTTATACAGAGCCTGACATACAATAAGTCTGTTTAAGAAGACAAGTGAATGACAAAGGAATTAATCTCCATGCCCAGTTCTGGAAGCATTCTGCACCGCCCAGGTCCCAGAGCATATTCTGAGCATCATTAAGCCTCTGGGCAGTGTCCTGCAGCTGGTGGTGCCCTTGTACTTCCTCACCCCTCCCAGAAAGGTATGTAGAAGTTCAGGCTTCACTGCCAAGGAGGGCAACTCCCTCTTACGGGAATTGGGGGACAGGCATCTGACAAGAGGCTTTCTGTTCTTCAATCAGCATAATGCTGGGGAAATCCCAAAGCTTTTGTTTCTCAAAAGGACTCATTAATCATAGAGGTAGTCAGCATTTCTCACCTGGAGTGGGAATCTTAACCTTGACCCTGATGCTCTCATTCTTTGTCTGAGGGATGAAGATGACTCCCTTCTACTCCATAGAACCACTTTTTTGGAATAGGAGAAGCTAATCGGTTGGAAGGGCTAAGTCACCCTTCCATCAGGTCAGCTCTTTTAACAAAATCCCTCAGGCTCTGTGAGAGCGGTTTGCTGTAACACCTTACCCCCTGGGATCTAGAGCAGCCTGCTCCTCTCAGACTGAGCTAGCAGAGATAAGGCAAAAGTGGAACCTTTGGTATCTAAGAAGCTCTGTCCCCTATTGTTCTGAGCCCAGCTGCTCCACAATCTCCGGCCTTCAGGTTGCCAGACCATCGGCACACCCCTTATGTCCAAAGTGGTCCCCACCTCACCCTCTCCCCAAGACAGCTCCAACTTCACCCTCCAGCCCCCACGGGGCCCTAGGACCATCATATCTTCTCTTGCTCATTCAAAATGCTCCTGAGAGTTTATTCCATGCTGGCACCTGGGGGCAACCAGCCATTGCCCCTGCCTCTAGATAAGGGGTTGCAGTTCCCTGGTGCAAGTGCAGAGGTAGACATATCGGAGAGTCCTGTGGGCCTGGAGGAACAAGCCCCCATGTGCTTGAGGAAGGTGGGTGGTCAGGAAAGGGGAGGGGGCAGTGACACAGGCTCTAGGCCCTCATGGCCATTAAGGGACTCACTAGAGACCTCAAGGTGAGGAGAGTATTCCTGGTGCAATCATGCAGAGCCTGGGGAAAGCCGGGATGTGATTTAAGGAAATGTTTTGAAGAACTGATTGGGTAGCTGTGTGCATGGATGGAGTTAGATTTATTCTGTGCCCCCAGTGGTGTGGGAGGAAACCAGGGTTCATGCTCAGCAGGCACGAGGAGACAGATTTTGGCTGATGTAACAGAAGACTTTCTAAGTGTCGGCACCAAAGGAGGACGTTCCCTTTCCTGGAGGAGTTTGGGCAGGGTGGGGCCAGCTGCTTGGCAGGGAGAGAATCACTCAAATGTGAGGGTGGGATAGGTTGGGCTAAACCAACAATGTTCAAACTTTTTTCAGGACAAACTCCTTTATTCAGATGGAAGCTTCTAGTGTGCAATAGTTGAAGGCAGAACTGGTAAGACCGAATAAAGCTGGGGAGGGGCTCCAGAATCCCATCCCCTCACTGCCCTTATCTTGCAGTTGGAGATGCCATGAGGATATACAGAACCTTTGGTATTTTCTCCTGGTGATCGAGGCTTTGGGGACATTTTGCTGGTTTTAATCCTACTCCCTCTCCCTCCTTTCTTCACATTACCCCCCAAGAAGGGATCATGGACCATGTAGAGTATTTTAGGACATCTGTGCAGTCAGTATTGGTTGAGAGCCTACTGTGTATCAGTCACTACTCCAGGTGCTGGGAATAAACTAGAAAATAAGACAGATGCCATGACTTGCCCTCGTGGAGTTCCCAGTGCAGTGGGGAAGCAAAGTCAAAGACATATTTCTGGCATGTTGCAATAGGTAATGGTGGATGGAGGGGATGGGGGGAGCCTACTCTATCTGAGGCATCTAGTCCGGGCCAGAACCCAGGCTGTGGTTTTTCCAGTAGTCATGTATGGATGTGAGAGTTGGATCATAAAGAAGACTGAGCACTGAAGAGTTGAGCTTTCGAATTGTGGTGCTGGAGAAGACTCTTGAGAGCCACCTGGATAGCTAGGAGATCAAACCAGTCCATCCTAAAAGAAATCAACCCTGAATATTCATTGGAAGGATTGATGCTGGAGCTCAAGCTCCAATATTTTGGCCACCTGATGTGAAGACCTGACTCATTGGAAAAGACCCTGACACTGGGAAAGATTGAGGGCAGGAGGAAAAAGGGGTCACAGAGGATGAGATGGTTGGATGGCATCACCGACTCAATGGGCATGAATTTGAACAAACTCCAGGAGATGGTGAAGAACAGAGAAGCCTGGATGCTGTAGTCCATGGGGTTGCAAAGAGCCGGACATGACTTAGGGACTGAAAAAACCTCCCAGTTGCCAGGCCAGCTTTCATTCTCCTGCACCAAGCAGCACAGCGGGGACTTAAGGGTGGCTTAGAACGGCTGTCAGGAGATGTCTCCCCACTTATAGGGTGTCCTGGGCAGGGAAGGGACTGGGACCTTCTGAACTCTGCTCCCCAAGCTCACAGCATAGAGTGCTTCCTGGAAACACCCCCATACTCTCAAGCAGGAGCCCTGACATCCCTGTCGCCATAGCAAAGGCTCTTAAAACAGGATGTGCAAGGTCCATGGCAGGCAGGTTGCAGGGAGCTGGAATCTGAGCGTGGTTCCTTGCTTCATGCTCAGCATTGGGGAAGGAGCTGCAAGATCCAGGCTTCAGAGAAGATGGATTCAAGGCTTTCTGCCATCTTCACCAACCACCACTGTCTGACCCTTCTCCATGTTGTGCCTCGCTTTCTTTACTTGTAACCCAGGGGATGGATGCTGTTCATCTTTGCCTGCCCTGAGCCCCATCCTAATCCTGTCAGAGTTCTCTCTCTGCTGAAAGCACAGGGCAGGAGGATGAGCCTGATTCGGGCTCTGGTGTTTGGAAGGCTCACCCCAGGCCAGTGATGACCCGGAAGAGGTTGAGCTCAGGGCAAGCAGCGAGGGCAGGGGGTCACTTGGGTGTCTCTGAGGTGAGCGCCTGGGTCTGGAGGCTGCTAAGGCAGGGAACCTGGGAGCCAGGCCAGGCTGCAGATTCACAGGGCAGCCAGGGCTTCTGCTGCCCTGAGCTCTTAGCTACCGACAAGGCCCGGAGGAACTCCCGCCCCCTGCAGGAGCTCAGCTTGCCCTGGAGTCTTAGGATCAGAACCTGCAGGCCCGAGAGGCTCCCCGGACCCAGTGTCCCTCCTCATGGCAGTGGTTGGGCCTCATGGCTGCAGATCCAGGGATGGCTCTGGTTTCTTCTAGCGGACAGGCTGGGCCCTTGTCATGCTCCCATCCTCCTGGGGCCAGGGTTCTGCTCCCCACCTGTGTGCACACCTTCCCTTGTGTCCATGGGAAGGACTCTGGGTCTGCTAGAGACGCCCAATGCCCCCATGGATTCAGAACTCCATCTGTGGGTAACATCCCATCTGTCCTTGACTCCAGCGTTCCTTCTCAGACATGCTCTGTCTGCGTGCACATCTGGAGGACTTTCAGAGGCCTAAAGGTCTGGTTCCCAGGTGGCTCAGTGGTAAAGAATCCACCTGCCAATGCAGAAGATGTGGGTTCGACCCCCGGGTCGGGAAGATCCCCTGGAGAAGGAAATGGCAACTTGCTCTAGTATTCTTGCCTGGAAAAATCTCATGGACAGAGGAGTCTGGCAGGCTACAGTCCACGGGGTCACAAACGGTCAGACATGACAGCACACAACACTCACACACTCAAGGTTCTAGTAGGAGAGAGGGCTGTGTGCACAGCATTGGGTAAAAGGGGCAGGGCTGGGTTGGGACGTGGCTGGAAGGTTGAGGGGAAGGTATAACACCTGTTTCCTTCTGTGGTGACAATGGCCAACTTGAGCATCTGCACTGGGAGATCCTGAGCTGGGGTGAGGTAAGGGGCACCTGAGCAGGGGGGTCTGGGCTCATGGGGGAGGAGATGGTCCAGAAGATGAGCCCAAGGGACCCAGAAGAGACTCACCGTTTCTCTGCTTCTCTTTTTTGTTATTACTGAATGAAGAAGTTGAGGCCCAATTAAGGCCCAGGACTGTCTGATGCCCAGACTTCTGGGAAGGTCAGGTTGGGAGAGGGGAGGGGGAAGAAGCACGCAGAGCACTGACTGGGAGGAAGACTTTATTTCACCCCCATCACCCTGCCCCACAGCAAAGGCAGCCCTGAGGCTCTAGGTGGGCAGCGGCTGGCCTCCTGATTAGTGGCTGTGGCCGTGACCACCGTGGCTGTGGCCGTGGCCGTGACCTCCGTGGCTGTGGCCGTGGCCACCCTGGCTGGGGCATGGGCCCGAGCCACCCTGCCCGAAGCCTGGCCCATGCCTGTGGCCATCTCCTGGGGGTGCGGTCTTGTGCATCTCCTCGTGGGAGGCTACCGTCAGCTTGGCCACCAGCATAATGAACTCCTCAAAGCTCAGCTGCTTGTCCTGGTTTGTGTCCAGGTCCTCCATGATTTCGTTGATGACTTTTTCATCCTTCTTCTGCTTCTGCAGGTGGGAGACATGACATGGGGCGTCAGGGCTGGGTGTGGCCAGGGCTGGGGACGGGGAGGAGCACTGCAAGTGACCCGATGGCAGAGGCACCGGGACAGTGGGCTTCTGGGCCTCAGTTGCAGCATCTATTAGCCACGTTCTAGTTCCTTCTGCACACAACCCGGGCACCACGATTCACTCCCTTATACAGGAGAGGATCCGAGGTCAAGTGACTCGCCCAAGGTCATGCAGTAAGTGCAGCGGTGTCTCCTCACTGGGTTCTTACAGCAATTATAGAGAGACTTGGAATCTTCCCTGAGGAACACCTGAGCAAATGGTCTTGCAGAGGGTAACTAGCTCGTGCAGATTGCCAAGGCTTGGGAGTGGAAGGGAGGACACCCACATTATGATCTGACCCAGAGCCTGGACTTGTCCCGTTCTCACCGCTTCTGTCAGCATCACGCCCTCCTCTCCCCTCCCTCTCCAGGCTAGTGACCCTCATTTCAGCCTGTAGGGTGGGGAAGCATCTAAGGGAAATGAGATGGTGTGATAAGTGTGCAAGGAAGGGCATGAGGGGAGGATCCAGGCCCCCCTGGGTTCCAGCTCTACCCCCCACTGGCTGGGCAATTTTGCTGTCTCCTCTTGCAGTGCTTCACCAGGATCTCCTCTTCTGTACGTCTGCCATTGTCGTGGCAGAGCTCTCACTCCTGAGCAGACCCTGGGCAGGGGCCTGGCTTTCCCTCCTGGCCCATCTGCTCTGCATGTCGGGGGTGGTGGACGGCGTGGAGTAGGGGTCACACAGACGACAACCTTGCCCACACAACCTCTTGGCTGTATCGTCTCTTGTCTCCCCTGACCCAGAGTCTGGCTTGCTGAATTCTGCCCCTGCAGGGAGCTCTCAGTGTCCCCCGGCTCTGTCCACTACAATTCTCTACCTTACCAAGGTGGGGAGGGGCCCCAGGCAGGGCTGTCCACCTATTCTGGGCCATCCTGCTCCAGGAATGGAACTGAGACTGGGACTTACATGTCCCACCCTTCTGAGCACAGCACCTGTGTCCCCCAAGTCACCAAATTTGTAAAGAAAACAAAAAGATCCAGTGGAATGAATCTTCCTTTTCTTAGAGCTGCCAGATCATTTTCAGATTAGGGAAATTAACTAACATGTTATGGAGTGCTTTGTCCACTCTTGCTGGCCTGGGTCCCTTCCCAAATGCTGTTGATTTGTTTCCTCCCAGAGAGCCTATGGATTAGAAAAGTCCTCTTGGGTCTTCTAAGTTCATCTGATGCTTGCAGTCTCATTAGCTTCCTTCAGGGAGCTCTCAGTGTCCCCCGGCTCTGTCCACTACAATTCTCTACCTTACCAAGGTGGGGAGGGGCCCCAGGCAGGGCTGTCCACCTATTCTGGGCTATCCTGCTCCAGGAATGGAACTGAGACTGGGACTTACATGTCCCACCCTTCTGAGCACAGCACCTGTGTCCCCCAAGTCACCAAATTTGTAAAGAAAACAAAAAGATCCAGTGGAATGAATCTTCCTTTTCTTAGCGCTGCCAGATCATTTTCAGATTAGGGAAATTAACTAACATGTTATGGAGTGCTTTGTCCACTCTTGCTGGCCTGGGTCCCTTCCCAAATGCTGTTGATTTGTTTCCTCCCAGAGAGCCTATGGATTAGAAAAGTCCTCTTGGGTCTTCTAAGTTCATCTGATGCTTGCAGTCTCATTAGCTTCCTTCTAAGGGTCGTTGTCACTTGCTTCCCCTAGCCCCTTCCCAACACTCAGGTTTCAGCTCAAAGGTCACACCCTTGGAGGGACCCTTCACGTACTTAACTAGTTACCTCTCTCCTGCCCAGTCCACACTGCCCACAGCGCTCTATTGGCAGTGGATCTATCTGTCAACACGTGATTGGTCAACACGTTTGCCACGTGTCTCTCCCCTCGAGACAGTGGGTCCCTGTTGGCCACTATGTGCCCTGCCTGGGACGGAACCTAGCACGCTGCACAAGCTGTCTGTTGGTGCCACCTACTGTGGACCACCTCTAGTGACAGGGTCCAAATCCTGCTCCAAACACAGAGCCCACTGCCTTTGGAGGCTGGGTTGAGGGGCAGGAACATCTTCCTTGATGGTTGCAGATTGTATCCCCATTCTCCATCCTTAGCCCAGACTGACTCAGGTCTGCCAGGAATCCAGCCTTACCTTGATAAAGTTTGGCAGCTCTTTTTGCACCAGCTGTTTGAATTCTTTCTGCATCAGGGTGTCCGGGTGCCCTAGTCGTACGGAGTACTGGTGGAAGATGTTGATGATGGCTTCTATGCTGCATTCCATTTGAGACATTTGGTCCGCCATCTTCCTGCCTTCTGTTTGAGCAATGGAATAGGGTGCTTAGAAGACTGTCAAGCTTCCTTGACCCTCCTACTGTCTGCACACAGGAATGAAGAGGAAAATACAGAATGAAAAGAAATTGGGGACTGCAACTGAACTGGGAGATGACCCAGTTCCAAACATGAGAGGAATGGCTTATAGAATGTCTAGGGAATGCCCCAAAAGAGAGCCTTTGAGGATAGCAGAGCATGACCTAAGAAAAAGGGAAGCAAGATTTAAAGTGAGCAGTCAATCAAGGAGGGCTTCCAGGTTTGAAAGGAAGATGGGTAAGGGGGGTGAAGAGTCAGTGGGCAGGCTCCGGCCCCGGGAGAGCTGGTAGCTCACTTACCCAAGCCAAGGAGCCACGCAGAAGGGTTTGAAAGCAAGATGCGGGCCCAGTTTTTATACACCACTGATCCAGACAGCCCTCTAGCGTGAAGATTGCTTCATAGGTGAGCCTATGTGGTAACCCCAGGCTGGGCTGTTTCACTGCCAGGAAGGGGGCTGGGCCAGGACAGGAAGTGTTCACAGAGCTCTTTTTGACTTTTTGTGAAATTCCCAGCCCTGGCCTGGAGCTGGTTTGGGAGGAAGCTGGTTGCTTAGTCCACTTCCCCTCCACCCCACACCCCTGTCCCCCCTGAGTGAGGTGGGAAGCACTCTGCCTCTCTTCTGGGACCCCTCTCTCAACAACCACCAAGGTTGTGCTTCCCGTCTGTGATAGACAGGGGCTGCTGGTGGGCTGAGGACCCCCGAGGTGGCCAACCCACTCTGGCTCCCCATGTGGCTGAGCCTTCCTGCGCCTGTCTGACTCTGGCTCTTAAGGGGGCGAGGGGTCTGCCTCCATTGTTCAAGCTGATGGAGGAAGTGCAGACAAGAGCCTGCAGCCATCCAGTGCGGTTCCCTCCTCAGTTAGGAAATCTCTGTTTTAGGCTATCGGGGCAAGGTCGCCAGGGTGCCTCTTGTGTGTGCGTCCACAGCGCCCCCTGCTGCCTCTGTCAGGGCATGTTTCGCTCTGGACCAAGGATCTGAGACCCAAGCTTACAGGAACTAGAGACCCGGAGCCAAGTAGCGAAGCCGTGTGGGCTAAGAACCCAGAGCACCGCCAGAAGTGTGACTTGTGGCAGCAGACATGGGACCTCTGGGTTGCAAAGGACTAGAGCTTGGTGGGGACAGTGGCAAACCAGAGCATTCCTCACTTGAGGGGGCCGCTGTTACTCATCCTCAGGGGAAGGCAGCCACGTGAGAGAGTGGATCTTTTGTTAATGGACCTCCCAAAGGTTCAGGAAATCTGATTTTTTCTGTGAAAACTCTTGCTTATAAGATTCATCAACTACTTTTAAAGGAAAATAAAAACGTTAACTAGGAAACATGGTATGTGCTGAACAAAGCATGGTTGCAGGCCAACGCCTGAAGTTCTTGTCTTTCAGGTCTCTCTCCTCCATCCTGCTGAGGTTCCCCGAACCAGGGATGTGGCCTGAATCACCTCTGCGGTTCCAGGATGGAGCAAGAGCCTGCTCGATAGGTGTAGAATGAACAGTTGTTGAATTAATAATTGCAGGAATGCACAAATAAATGGGCAAATGAATGAGTGTGAAATACACACAGGTCTGTTTGTTGCCCTATGACTTTCTGCAGAGATGTTGGCTGGGACCATGCAGTGTGGGTTAGGATGGAAGTGACTGGGTGGGAGGAGGAGAGTAGGGTCAGTGGTTGGTGGAGTGAGCAGCTGGACAGGGCTTCGAAACAGGAGGGAGTCCACACTTGGGGGTCCTGCTTTGGCAGTGAGTTCCCTCATGACAGAAGGTGGTGGCAGGGGACTTCCCTGGTGGTCCAGTGGCTAAGACTCCATGCTCCCAAGGCAGGGGGCCTGGGTTTGATCCCTAGTCAGGGAACTAGATCCCACATGCCACAGCTAAGAGTTCACATGCCACAGCTAAAAGACACTACACGCCCTAATGAAGATTGAAGATCTTATAACTAAGAGCCTGTACAGCCAAAAAAAACACAAGGCCTCGGTTGGCAGACCTCATGGTCCCAGGCTAACCCAAGCCTGGGTGAGGCCGAAGCTGAGTTGTAGAGGCTGTGACCTGGGCAGGCTATTTCTGGCTTGGTCAATAAGTGCCCAGATGCCACCCAGCCTCCTCATTGCCAACCAAGGCCAGAGGTTGGAAGGAAAGGGTGGTGGGAAGTTGACACGACTGAGCGACTTCACTTTCACTTTCAACCTGTGTTAGGGGTGCAGAGAAGCAAATTAGGGTTTTTCTAAAGTTGGCCTGGAGCAAAACAGGGGTGCAGGGAACTCTCAGTACAGGATGAACAGACACAGTGGAAATGAAAGGGAGAGAACTCCAGGGGACGGGCTCCCAGGGACTCTCCCCCTCCTTCTGATTTTGCTCTGCCACATGACTGAGTTCCCTTCTAGAAGGAAGAAAGTGCCCTCCTCCACACTGCTCTCTTGTGGGCCTGCCTTGGACTCCCAGCCCTGGCTTTAAGGCTCCTTGTGTCTGGTTGCCACAAATGGTGAGATCCCACAGTGAGATCCAGGCCCAGCTGTCCTGGGGTTCAGGATCTGGGGAGAAGCAACCACTAGTCCTGGCTCCTCAGCCTTCTCACCTTTCTTAAGGATTCATGCTTTTATTTATGAGTGGGAAAATCATAACCCTCTCTTTTAGAGAGAGGATGGTTTAGCAAGAGAGCAGCAAAGGTATCTATCACACCATTCTTTTCCAATTACTAGTAAGTAACCTCCTGATTTACATGACATGTTCATCTAAATATTCCCTCTCTCTCCTCCATCAGAATGCTACCGAATAGTTCATCACTGGAGAATCAGTTTCCTTTGATCTCCCTCTTCATTCCTTCTATTTTATTTTATTTATTTTTAAAATACTTTTTTTGATGTGAACCATTTTTACAGTCTTTATTGAATTTGTTATAATATTGCTTCAGTTTTATGTTTTGGTTTTGCTGGCCATGAGGCATTTGGAGTCTTAGCTCTCCAAGCAAGGATTGAACCCATACCACCTGTGTTGGAAGATGAAGTCTTAACCACTGCACTGCCAGGGAAGTCCCCATTCCTTCTACTTTAATAGTGAGTATTGGAATAGGTTGTTGAAACAAATGCCCTAGGAAGAGCTTACTCACTTAGACTGTTGTCACTACTATCAACATCAGCCACTAACACTTCAGTGTGAATGTTTTCACCAATATATCTATTGAGACACTTGGGATTTCTAAATCTAGAGCAGAGTGATAGTCAGAGGTGGAGAAGGGGGAAAGGATTGGGGGATGGAGAGATCAACCCCTATTTTAAGGAGAGGAGCCGGGCCAGGGCTCCACTGCAGCAGCAGACACTGTGACACTCCTGCTATGTTTCATCAAGGCTTGGCCCACCTTGGTCTGATCTCTTCTCGCCCCAAAGGGAAGCACTCTTTCTGCACCACTCACTGCCTTAGAGTCTTGAAGTTTTTTCTGCTAGGAGCTTATCTTTGAACAGTTGCCTCCAGCAAACTAAGGACACAGATCTGGAATGGGTTCTCTGAGGGGAGGATGGGGACTGCTGTCCCAGTTGATGAGATTGGGAGGAGCGGACACTTACTGGCCTAGGGACTCCCATGGATTTGATAACACTTCCATTGTCGAGGAAAGCAGGCCTTTGTAATGTTTGCGAGCAAAGCTTTGATAAGTCTCAGTAGCGAAAGCAGTCACTATCGCAAGGAGGAACCTGTGTTGTTGAGGGGGAGTGGGGAGGAGGGTGAGAAGACTAGAAAGGGGGGAGCAAGGGCCAGAGCCAGGGGTGGAAAGGGAGGAGGTGGGGAAACCAGGCAGCAGGGTTGAAAACACACATAGGACAAGAGCAGCGTCTAAAAGGACGACTTAGGTTTGGCTTAAGTTGTGCTGGGTGATGGAGAAGGCAATGGCAACCCATTCCAGTACTCTTGCCTGGAAAATCCCATGGACGGAGGAGCCTGGTAGGCTGCAGTCCATGGGGTCGCTAAGGGTCGGACACGACTGAGCGACTTCACTTTCACTTTTCACTTTCATGCATTGGAGAAGGCAATGGCAACCCACTCCAGTGTTCTTGCCTGAAGAATCCCAGGGACGGCGGAGCCTGGTGGGCTGCCGTCTATGGGGTCGCACAAAGTCGGACACGACTGAAGGGACTTAGCAGCAGCAGCAGCAGTGCTGGGTGATGTCATGAGTCTCCACAGCACGCTGATGTTGTTGTGAGTGAATCATGAGTGGAACCCCTAGGGATGCTGGGGTCTGTGTCCAGGTGGACAAAGAGACAAACCAGGAACAACACAGGGAACAGAAACAAGGGCAAAGAGGTCATCTGAGGTGCACTTCATTTCCTCCATCCAAAGGCAAGTAGGTCTCCTTCTCATAGTCCTGGCTCTGTTCCTGAGGTTCTCTCTTGATAAACATTTAGCTAGCACACTCAGTGACTCAGCCGTGGTTCAAGCTGGGGCATCTTGCCAGCCCCTGGCAGGAGGGGGCTGACACACAGCAACACTTGGGGCTTTTCCTGACGCCCTTTCACACTGTCCATTAAATTAAACCAGCTCTGAGAACCTCAGAGGAAAATATGATGGCTTTGGAGAAGAGCCACTTACTGTAGAGGTCAGTTTCATCCAGGATCTCTGACTTGATGATCTCCTCTATGATGTCCTCCAGTGTGACGATGCCCATCACCTCATAGAAGGGGTCCCCTTCTCCCTCGTTATTCACCCGCTGGACAATGGCCAGGTGAGACTTTCCTAGAGACAAAGGAAGTCATAGTTAAGCATCTGGGATATTTTCAGAGAACTTTCCTTGTGAGAAAATGATCCTAAATTGCTCTCTGACCAATCTTGGGACCGAACCACTGAACCCATTCCAGGATCTGTTTAAAATATGAAGTTTGTGTACAATCTCTTATAAATGCAAACTTTATACTTTTATATCACTGTCTCTTTTCAAGCAAGTTACTTGGACTTCCCTGGTAGTCCAGTGATTAAGAATTTTCGTGCCAATACAGGGCACATGAGTTTCATCCATGGTCTGGGAAGATTCCACATGCCTCAGAACAGCTAAGCCTGCGTACTACAACTACTGAGCCTGTGCTCTAGAGCCCACGTGCTGCATCTTGAGAAATCCCATGTGTGGGAACAAAGATCCAGTACAGCCACAAATAAATAAATAAAAAGAAAGTTACCTGATATACACAATGCCATTTAAATGTTGATGTTTTTTTTTCCACTATAACTTTCCTGTATTAAGTATATCTAAGCTGAAGGAGGATGATGGATGAATAATCTAATTGAGAGAATTAGAATTTGGAGTTAGAAGAACTAGGTTAGAAGCCTGCAAACCTCCGCGTCGCCATCCCTAACTATCTTAGTGACTCTCTGTGCAACTCACCCTGGACAAACCAGTACATTAAACCTGTACTGAATCTCAAGCTTCTCATCCAGCATTAGAGGATAATACTAAAATGGCGATTTTCAATGTGGCTCCCAGAGGCTTTGATATGCCTCCCATTGAGAAGTGTGGTCTACACCTCCCAGAATATTGGAAATAAAAGCAAAAATAAACAAATGGGACCTAATGAAACTTAAAAGCTTTTGCACAACAAAGGAAACAATAAGTAAGGTGAAAAGACAGCCCTCAGATTGGGAGAAAATAATAGCAAACGAAGCAACAGACAAAGGATTAATCTCAAAAATATACAAGCAACTCCTCCAGCTCAACTCCAGAAAAATAAATGACCCAATC